CAAAGAATTACCATGTCATCCAGCAAATTCCACCCCTAGGTGGCGTATGCCCAAAGGAATTGAAAGCAGGGATTTGAACAGGTATTTGTACATGAGTGTTCATAGCAGCAATGTTTATAATAGCCAAAAGGTAGAAATGACCCAAAAGTCCATCAATGGATAAAAGGATGGACAAATAAAATGTGGTATGTCCATACAATAGAATATTATTCAGCCTTAAAAAGGAAGGAAATCCTGTCACATAGGGTTCCATGAAATAAACCTGTGGATGAAATACTATATGATTCCACTTACATGAGGTACCGGACATAGTCAAATTCCCAGAAACAGAAAATAAAATGGTGGTTACCAGGGGCCGGGGAAGGAGAAATAGAGTTGTTTAATGGGTACAGAGTTTCAGATTTGCAAGATGAAGAGTTCAACAATGCCACCAGGCACCATGGCTCACACCTGTAATCCTAGCACCTTGGAAAGCCAAGGCCAGAGGATTGCTTGAGGTCTGGAGTTTGAGACCAGCCTGAGTAAAAGCAGGACCCTGTCTCTTCAAAAAAATGGAAAAATTAGCCAGGCGTGATGACACACATCTGTAGTCCCAGCTACTCAAGAGGCTGAGACAAGAGGATTGCTTGAGTCCAGGAAACTACGCCACTGCACTCTTGCCAGAGCTACAGATCAAGACCTTGTCTCTAAAAAAAAATTTAAAAATCCTCATAAGCTTGAAATGCATACAGAAATGCATTACTTGATATCTACGATTTGCTTTAAGATAGTTAATAAAAAAGAAGTCTGTGTAGGTGTAGATGTAATATGATTGGGGAATGTTGATAAGAACTGAAGCTGGGTTTGATTACATGGGTTCACTATACTATTCTCTCTACTTTTGTATATTTGAAATTTTTATTAATAAGCAACAATAAGTTTTAAGTGAAGGAAAAAAAAAGAAAAGGAAAAAATATGTGGCATGTTATGAGTTTTAAAGCATAAAACTGTAATACCACCCATGAACCCCTACCCAGCCCAATAGTCATTTTTAAAAAAAACAAACCAGGCCAGGCGCAGTGGCTCACGCCTATAATCCTAGCACTCTGGGAGGCAGAGGCGGGCGGATTGCTCAAGGTCAGGAGTTCAAAACCAGCCTGAGCGAGACCCCGTTTCTACTATAAAAAAATAGAAAGAAATTAATTGGCCAACTAATATATATATGAAAAATTAGCTGGGCATGAAAAAACAAAAAAAAATAAACAAAAGGTCAGAGATGGAGTGAAAAGCTTTGTTCTCTTCCTTGAAACATATACATTGACTCAGGATACCCTGAGTTATGATGAGAGCTTCCCGTTCGAGCCCAACCAAATTAATCGCCTTCAAAAAAAAAAAAAAAAAAAAAAAAAAAACCAAACCAATGGTTCTTAAAACTACATAACCATCAGAATCACCTAGGAAAATTTAAAAAATAAAAAAAACAGTTTCAGATCCTTCTACCCAACCTGCATCTTGCATTCCAAGAATCTGAATCACTCACTAAGTTTTCCAGGAGATTCCAAGGATCAGTCAAGTTTGGGAACCAGTGGCTACACATCACACCCTTTCTCTGGATAAATGGGGAGCTATAGAGTGCCATTCTAGCAGTTAGCAGGCTGTCAGGAAGATCCAGACGCTGGGTATGGTGGCTTTGGGTGTGACAAACAAGTTTAGATACTTTGGTACACTGCCTCAATTTACTCATAAGCACTTGATTGTAGCCTAGCCTAGGTAAGGCTCTTTGTATCTTTCCTGCCATAGCCTCAAGGCATAATATTATAATTGCTGCTGCTGCTGCTGTTGGAATTATTGAAGAGAGACCTGGGGTATGAGGCAAGTAGACACAGGTTCAGATTTTTTCTAGGTGTGTGACTTTGAGCAAGTTACTTAAGCTTTCTGAACCTGTTTTGTCATCTGTAAAATGGAGATGATGACAACAATGACAGCAATCATAACTATGTTAGAAGGTTGTTGGTAGGCTGAAAGACAACATATATAAAACAATCTTTGCACAGTGCCAAATGTATAGAAGAACTTAGCAAATAGCAGCTGGTAAGGCCAGTCGCGGTGGCTCACACCTGTAATCCTAGCACTCTGGAAGGCTGAGACAGGAGGATCGCTTGCGGTTAGGAGTTCAAGAACAGCTCTGAACAAGAGCAAGACCTCATCTCCACCAAAAATAGGAAAATTAGCTGGGTGCATGCCTATAGCCCCAGCTATACTTGGGAGGCTGAGGCAGGAGGATTGCTTGAGCCCAGGAATTTGAGGTTGCTGTGAGCTATGATCACACCACTGCACTCTAGCCAGGGCGACAGAGCAAAACTGTGTCTCAAAAAAAAAAAAGTAGCTGGTAGCTGCTTTTAAGTATTTTCTGGAAGCAGGAGCCTTATCCTTCAGGCGCCGAGCAGATGTGACCTTGCTGGAGTGTGGGTACACCGTCACCTGAGGGAGTCTAGAACTATCCTTAGCTGTTCTTTCCATTGGAGAGTGTGTTTTTCCCAGGCTGGGAGAGGCTGCGCTTTGCACACCTGTGCATGGATCTGAGACGTTCAAGGTTGAAAGAGTGTAGAGGCTTTAGGGAGGTGTCCAGTGTCCCACCAGTGCCCTTCCCTGTGACCTCTATTTGCAGGGGCTGCAGAGGTTTGGGTTGTCACAGTCAGCGTGCCTCTTTCCAGGGGGAGAGGGTTGCGGTAGCAGTCTGAACCCTCCCCCACCAGGTAGGTGCTTTGCCTAAGCCCCGGCACGGCACGTGAGAATTTGTCCAGACTGCCCTTGTGGAAGGCTTCCACCAGCTGGGAGAAGGGGGAGTAGGAGGTGGGACTAATCTCCCTGACCTCAAAAGACTTTCAGCACTCACTGTCCCAAGGTGGCGTCATGAGTACCAGATACAACTCATATCTTGGTGCTGCTGCGTGACATTGGGACAGTCCCTTAACCTCTCTCAGCCTCAATCATCTTCTCCGTAAAATGGAGTTTGCAATTGAGCTTACTTCAAAGGTTTGTGCCAGGTCCTTCTTGTGCCAGGACCTGGTATAGAGTTAGCACTCAGTGAATGGTCGTTAATAACTATTAGCCTCAGAGGACTTTGTACTACCAGCTCCTTCTCCTTCCTTAGACCACGCCCAATCACCCTCTTAGCACCCTCCAGCCCAAATCCAGGAGCAGAGCCCATTCCTCTCTCTTTTTCTGATCCCAAAGAACTCACATAACAGGGACTTGGCATTTTGCTGGTCAAGCCTTCCCTTCGCTCGGGCAGCCTTCACGCGTGCGGGGGCCATAGAGGCTGCTGTGTGGTCCTGCGCTATCCCTGTCTCTCTGCGGTCTCTTTCACAGTCCCCTCTGTCTTTGGGCTAGCCCTGAGACCAGCTCTGTGACCATCTACAGCACTGTCCAATAGAGCCTCCTGCGATTACGGAAACATGCTGTATCTGCACTGCCAACGTGGCAGCCACCAGCCACATGAGCCTGCTGAGCACTCGGAATGTGGTTAGTGTGACCGAGAGCTGAATTTTTTTTTTCATGTTTTAAAATGTTTTATTCTTTTTATTTATTTACTTTTTAGACAGAGTCTCACTTTGTTGCCTGGGCTAGAGTGCCATGGCATGATCGTAGCTCACGGCAACCTCAAACTCCCGGGCTCAAGCTATCCTCCACCCTCAGCCTCCCAAGTAGCTGGGACTACAGGCGCATGCCACCACTCCCAGCTGATTTTTTTCTGCTTTTAGTAGAGACAGGGTCTGACGCTTACGCAGGCTGGTCTCAAACTCTTGAGCTCAAGCGATCCTCCCGCTTTGGCCACAACGTGGCCAGCCTGGATGCGATCCTGGAATAGGCAAAGGACATTCAGTGAAAACTCAGGATTTCTGAGTAAACTATGGACTTGAGTTTGATGATGTTATTTGCAATAACAAATATTAATATTGGTTCATTAACTGTAGACCACGTGACCATACTAAGATGTTAATAATAGGGGAAGCTGTTAAGGGAATGGAGATGGGTATGTAGGAACTCTCTGTTCAATAAAAATAAGTATATGAATAGATAAATAAAATAAAAATAGCAAGGCCCTCCCAACCTCGCAGCGTAGGGAACTCAGCAGTTTTGGCTGTAGAGTGAAGTCTTAAAACAAAGAAAAAAGAAAAGAAGAACTCCACAGAGCATGAAGTAAACCAATTATAAATACCACGTACTATATGACATATCCAGAAGAGGTAAAGCTACATAGAGACAGAAAGCAGATTCTCAGCTGCCAGGGGCTGGGGAGAGTGACTGGCAATGGGTGCTGGGTTTCCTTCTGCCATGATGAAAGCGCCCTGGTGCAAGATGGAGGTGATGGCTGCACAACACTGTGGCTGCACTATGCTAACCGCACTGAATTGTTCACCCAAGGCAGTTAATGTTATGTGAATTTCACCTAAAAAAAATGTTACATAGACATTGGATATGACAGTTCTAAAACCATTTATTATTCTGTAAGTCAGACACAGGCCTTTAGAACTCCAAAGCCCAGGGCTTTCTCAAAAACCCACATTGGGCAGTCTTGGAGGGAAAGTGGTATTGGCGCGGTGAGAAAAAAAATACAGCCTGTGCCTTGAAATGGAGCCCCTATTCTGCCATTTGCTAGCTGTGTGACCTTAGGCAAGTTACTGCACCTCTCTGAACCTGTTTCTTCATCTGCAAATTGCATGACTGATGGGACTATTCAGTGAAAGCCACAGCCCAGACTCAGGCACTTGGCAAGTTGTGGAGGCAGCAATCATTCCCTCCCCTTATCCCAGCTGCCCGACTGGGGTGGTGGCTTTGCCCACCCCCAACCTCCCCCGCCAGAAACCACTCTCTTTGGTTATAAGGTGCTGAGAACAAATGCATGACATTTTTTCCAGTGATCCCTCGCTGGCACACTGGTCAAGGTCATTCCTGCGGCAGACAGACTCAAGGCCAACCCAGAGTCAGCCGAGAACAAAGCAAACACTACAGCCTTATCTCGGGGGCGTGGGGCGACTGACTATAAGGAGAGCGGCCACTGGTCACCTCAGCCTTTCTTCTCCGCTCACCTCCTTGACTGCAGGATGAAACTCCTCGTGCTGGCTGCTCTGCTCGCAGGTAGGCGACTCCTCCCAGCTCCACCCTCCTTCCCCTTCCTGCACTAATATCTCTAAGATCTCACTCCTCAGGACATGGGGACAGGTCACAACAGACAGGGCTGGCCAACCCTGGAGGCTCAAGTCAAGGTTCCCTAGGGGCTTAAGGGCTGCCGTCTTGGGGCCTCCCTCAAATCCCTCCACCGCTGGCAGGTCTGAACTCCCAGCAGCCCTCTCTGCGGGGCCAGCCCTGCCCACCCACGCTAAGAAAACCTGCCTTCCGTCTCCCTGCCATGTTGCCTCGGCACAGCGTCTTCCCAGAACCTTCCTTTGGCTACGATTTTTATCTTGTTGATTCATTTAATTTCTTCTCGCCCACCCACGCTGACGGGTGGGCTCCATGAGTGTAGACAGTGTTGTTGGCACCGTGCAGTGAATGAATTGATGGAGCAGACATGTTGGAATTCGAATCCCAGCTCATTCATCCGTTGTTCATTGAGTCACTCAACATGGATGGAGACCGAGGACTCAGAGATGAGTGCTCATCCTCCCACCGGAGAAGCACGTACACCACACACACACACACACACACACACACACACACACACACAAACACACACACACACCACGAGCCGGGGCTTTCTGCAGGTCTGGCCTCAGCAAACAGCAGAGCTGGCTGGATTGGAAAGAGAGAGAGAGAGAGAGAGAGAGAGAGAGAGAGAGAGAGAGAGAGAGAAGAAAACGAGGGAGTTCTGGAGACGGGCCAGGGTAGCCAGCCCCCTCCTCGCTGAGCAGACTCCAGGCCTCCACTCCAGGATGCAGCCTCTGTCAGCTGCCACTGCGGAGACCACCCAGGGGGGACCAGCTGCGCGTGACCCTGGGGTTTAAACACAGCAAGTGGCGTGTAGTGTCCAGCAGATGGAGAACATGAAGGACTAGGCATGGGGCAACAACAATGCTGGTGGCTAATTGAACAAGACCCTGAAAATACTCTGTGCCCTTTTCTTTTTAGGGCACCAAATCTCACAGGGTAGGGCTTTATGCAAATGGGGGACAGGGTTCTGCTCCCCTGAGTTTGCTATGCAAAGCCTTGTACTTGATTTGGGCAAACACTCTTGCAGCTAGAGGCAGGATTTCTTCACACATTCAACAAAAATTTATTGAGCACCTACTATGTACCAGGCCCTTTCTTTATTTCATTGATTGACTATTTCATTCATTTAAGTCATCCTGTATCTATTGAGTGCCTACTATGTGTCAGGCACAATGCCAGGCTCTGGGGAATAAAAGTCAGGAAGCTGCCCTTGAGATCTTGCAAGAATCTTGCAAGAGGGAGACATTAAATAAACAGATGGGTACAAATTGTTAGAAAGACCATGAAGCAAAGAACACAAAGAAAAGTGAGAGCAGGGGAGCCTCATAGCTGGGGTGTCCAGGAAGGGCCTCTTTGAGGACATGATATTTAATTCAAGATCTGCCTGCCTTTTGAAAATTCAGATAACAAAAGTGCCAGGCAGGGGAAACAGCAGGTGTGTGCAGGCCTGGAAGCAGGAAAGAGGTTGTGCTGTTGGAAACAGGGACAGGAGGCCAGTTGGCTACAGTGAAGGGGGCAGGGGAAAGGTGTTAGAAAATGAGACAGAAGAGATGGGTAAAGGCCAGATCTCATGGGCCTCCTGGAATGGGACCAGGAGTTTGAATTTGACTCAAAGGTCTGGGAGCATTCATTGAAGGAAGAACAAGATTCAACTTAAGTTTAAAACACAGGCCAGGTAGGCCAGGCATGGTGGCTCACGCCTGCAATCCCAGCAATTTGGGAGGCCAAGGCGGGAGGATCACATGAGGCCAGGAGTTCAAGACCAGCCTCGGCAACATATCAAGACCCTGTCCCTACAGAAAATAAATGAATTAACCGGGGCCAGGTGAGGTGACTTATACTTGTAATCCCAGGAATCTGGGAGGCCAAGGCAGGAGGATCGCTTGAGCCCAGGAGTTTGAGGCTGTAGTGTGCTATGATCATGCCACTGCACACCAGCCTGGGCAACAGAGCAAGACCCCATCTCTTAAAATATAAAAAGAAGAGAAAAAAATACATGAACACCTGCCTCATCATTTTAATGGCTTCAGAGTACTCTGCTATAGGCCATACCCTGATTTAACTAGTCTACTGATGGATAGTTATGTGCAAAATATTGCTATTACAAACAATGCTATCATGAATAGCGTTGTGTATTTATCTGTGGCTATGTAACAAATTACTCCAAAATTTAACAATGTAAAACATTTATTTATTTATTTGAGACAGAGTCTCACTCTGTTGTCTGGGCTAGAGTGCCGTGGCATCAGCCTAGCTCACAGCAACCTCACATTCCTGGGCTCAAGCAATCCTTCTGCCTCAGCCTCCCGAGTAGCTGGGACTACAGGCATGTACCACCATGCCCAGCTAATTTTTTTTATATATAATAGTTGGCCAATTAATTTATTTCTATTTTTAGTAGAGACGAGGTCTCACTCTGGCTTAGGCTGGTTTCGAACTCCTGACCTTGAGCGATCCTCTCGCCTTGGCCTCCCAGAGTGCTAGGATTACAGGCGTGAGCCACCTCGCCCAGCCTAAAACATTTATTATCTCACGGTTTCTGCAGGTCAGGAATGGGGTACAGTTTGGCGGGGTCTGACCCTCTGGCTCAGGGTCTATCAAGGTGTCGGGAGAGGTTAGGATCCCATCGGAAGCTCCAAAAGTGCTAGCATTACAGGCGTGAGCCACCACACCCATCTTGTTTTTACTTTTTTGAGAAAGCTCCATACTGTTTCCACAGCTGCTGTCTCATCTTACTTTCCCACCAGCAGTGCACAGGGTGCCAATTTCCCTACATCCTCGCCAGCACTTGTTATTTTCTGCTTTTTTGATAACACCTATTATTATATTTTTTGAGACAGAGTCTTGCTGTTGCCTGGGCTAGAGTGCTGTGGCATCAGCCTAGCTCACAGCAACCTCAACCTCCTGGGCTCAAGCGATCCTCCTGCCTCAGCCTCCTAGGTAGCTGAGACTACAGGCATGTGCCACCATGCCTGGCTAGTTTTTTCTATTTTTAGTATAGATGGGGTCTCGATCTTGCTCAGGCTGGTTTTGAACTCCTGATTTTGAGTGATCCTCACGCTTCAGCCTCCCAGAGTGCTAGGATTACAGGCGTGAGCCACCGCGCCGGGCCCATAGCAGCTATTCTAACAGGTGAGGTGGGGTGTCCCAATATTAGCTGTACAGGAATGACGATCCTAGCCAACGGTTACCGAGTGGCGTACCATGTGCCCGTACTAAACCCTTCACAACCACTCCTGTAATCCCCGTCAGCTAGGTGGGATTATTCTATCCGCCACGTGTGGATGAGGAAAGTTTGCACGCCTCCCTCCCTAACTACACTGAAAGTCCCTTGAAGTCGCTGACTGTGTTGTGTGCGCCGCGGTTACGTCCAAGCCCGGCACCGAGCCGGGCACAGAGTCGTCTCACGCTCAGAGGTTACTTGATGGCTGAGTGACTGAAAACCAACAAGAGAAACCGCGCCCACAGCTGCGACAGCAGGGGCTACGGACACCCCAGGACACTTGGGTGTACAGCCTAGTCCTTGAGGCCCCGGGGAGCAGGGGTGTCAGTTCTCTCAGATGGTGTGGAGAGTCAGGTGGGCTGATCGTGGGGGGACACGACTGCCTTCAGGGGTCCCCCCATGGCTCTGCCTGCTTCAGCCCTGGGCCCCTGTGGCGGCCATGGAGCTGCACCTTCCCACCGAGTATAGCCGGGGACAACCTCCAGCTACTGCCCCTCTGGGACCCGTAGCAGCATCCACACCACGGCCCGCTGGCCCAGACTGCTCCTGCCACTGATGGAGCGTGGCAGGAGGGCCCCCCGAAAGGCGCATCTTCTCTCTGGGGCTCCCCGAGGCCTGGCTGAGCTTTCACGGAACCACGCCGCAGTGTGGGGCTCGTGCCTCCCAATCCTCCGTCCTCCCCCTCCCTCCCTCCCACCTGTCCCACCTGCCGGAATCCGAGGATCTCCCTGCCCGCTCCTTTAGCCTTCACAGCTGTTCCCGCCCCAGAAGTCTCTTGCACTTCTAATTCTGTCTTGGAGTCTCCTTCCCAGAGGACCCCAACGGACACAACTTCCTTCGGTCTATTCTCCACACAGCATCCAGTGGGATCCTTTTCAAGGCTAAGCTAGATTATGCCCCTCCTTGGCCCAGATCCCCCCCAATGGCTCCCCATTTTTTGCAGAGTAAAAACCCAAATCCTCGCTGGCCCGGTGGCTCATATGACTGTAATCCCAACACAGTAGGGTCGCTTGAGGCCAGGAGTTCAAGACCAGCCTGGGCAACATAGCAAGGGCCCATCTCTACAAAATCTGTGAAAACAATTAGGTGTGGTGGCACACCCTGTAGTCCTAGCTACTTGGGAGGCTGAGGTGGGAGGATCGCTTGAGCCCAGGAGTTCAAGGCTGCAGTGAGCTGTGATCACGCCCACCACTGCACTCCAGTGTGGGCAACAGAACAAGACCTTGTCTCCAACAACAGAAAAGTTTTCATTACCAAAAAAAAAAATTCCTACTGACTTTACCAGGTTCCTGGGTGCAAAGCTCCTCTAAGGAGGCAGCTGTCCAGGGTCAGGGAGCAGACACATAGTGGGGTCCGTGGGGCGTTCCCAGAGCCAACCTGGGCAGATTTGAACCCTGGCTGCGTCTTCTTGCAGTGGGAGCTGCCGACAGCGGCATCAGCCCGAGAGCCGTGTGGCAGTTCCGCAAAATGATCAAGTGCGCGATCCCCGGCAGTGACCCCTTGTTGGATTACAACAACTACGGCTGCTACTGTGGCTTGGGCGGCTCCGGCACCCCTGTGGACGAACTGGACAAGTAAGTGACCCAGCGGAGGGAGACTGGAGGGTCTGCTGGGGTGGGGGCAGGGCACAGGCCAAGGATCTCTTCGAGGCACAGAAAGCGGACTTGCATATCTGCTAAGGATAACATATTTTCAACCTCTTGTATAAAGAAATAGGTCCCAAGAGGACCCCGGAAGCAGAATGGCTGAGATGTTTAAAACAGTGGGTGATGCTGTCCTCTAGTGGCAGAATGTGGCAACACACAACATCACTGGAACAATCCCAGAGTAACCTAGCGGTGGTTAAAAGTGTCACAGCATCTTCAGGACAGGATTTTCCTGTAGTCACCCACCCATGTGATAATCGCTTTCACTCAACATATGATAAAAGGACTTACATTTTTTAAAACCATACTTCAAAGACCGTTTCTCCCAGAAAAATCTTGGCTAAGTCATCCCCACCTGTTCCTAAGAGACAGCAGGTGAGAGCTGATCGGTTGCTGCACCCTTGCTCTCGCCTCAGTGCTCCTTTTCCCTTTCCAGGTGCTGCCAGACACACGACAACTGCTACGACCAGGCCAAGAAGCTGGACAGCTGTAAATTCATCCTGGATAACCCCTACACCAAGAGTTACTCATACACATGCTCCGGCTCTGAGATCACCTGCAGCAGTAGGTTTACCTCCTTCTTGATCTATGGATTCTAGGAGGCCCCCAGTAGGCAGTGAGGAAATAACAGTAATGATAGCCACCACTTATTGATAATTGTATTGGTGCTAGACAGGGTCTTCTTTAATCCTCACAACAAAGCTATGGGAGCAGTACTATTATTATCCCTATTTTACAGATGAGAAAACTGAAGTTCAAAAGGCTGAGCCATTTGCCTAAGGTCACACAGGGCATAAGAGGTGGTGTTTGGTTTTTGAACACAGTTCTATAAGGCTTTGGAGTTTCTATAAGGCCTCTTCTCTAACTGCTATGCCATACTCCTTCCTTATTTAATAAAAAGAACCGAGGCCAGGCACGGTGGCTCACGCCTGTAATCCTAGCACTCTGGGAGGCCGAGGCGGGAGGATCTCTCAAGGTCAGGAGTTCGAGACCAGCCTGAGCAAGAGTGAGACCCCCCATCTCTACTATAAATAGAAAGAAATTAATTGACCAACTAAAAATATATAGAAAAAAATTAGCCGGGCATGGTGGCGCATGCCTGTAGTCCCAGCTACTCGGGAGGCTAATGTAAAAGGATTGCTTGAGCCCAGGAGTTTGAGGCTGCAGTGACCTAGGCTGATGCCACAGCACTCTAGCCAAGGCAACAGAGTGAGACTCTGTCTCGAAAAAAATAATAATAATAAATAAAATAAATGAATAAAAAGAGCCGAGACTGATCATTTATTAGGCTCTTATTGCATGGCAGCTACTGGGCTAAGCACGTATACAAGATAGATTTTTTATTCCTATTTTACAGATAAGGAAGCTGAGGCTCAGAGACAATCATCTGCCCAAAAGAGTATAGTTTATAAATGTATAGTTGATGTTTGAATCCAATTTCATCAGATTTCAAAGGCTCTGTTCTTAACCATGCACATGGTGAAACATGTCCCTCCATTAAGGCAGTTCATTTGTACTTCATACTGATTTTAATTTTAAATCCATCCTAGTTTGTTCTATAATTTGTACTTTACTGGAAATTTACTGACAAAGGAAAACATTTGTGATTTTTAAAAGAAAGGATCAGGCTGGGCACACTGGCCACGCCTGTAATCCTAGCACTCTGGGAGGCCAGGCAGGATCGTTTGAGCTCAGGAGTTAGAGACCAGCCTGAGCAAGAGTGAGACTCTGCCTCTACCAAAAATAGAAAAACTTAGCCGGGCATGGTGGCGCATGCCTGTAGTCCCAGCTACTTGGGAGGCTAAGGCAGGAGGATTGCTTGAGCCCAGGAGTTTGAGGTTGCTGTGAGCTAGGCTGACACCACCGCATGCACTCTAGCCTGGGCAACAGAGTGAGACTCTGTCTCAAAAAATAAAAAAAATAAGGCCGGGCGCAATGGCTCACACCTGTAATCCTAGCACTCTGGGAGGCCAGGCAGGATCGTTTGAGCTCAGGAGTTAGAGACCAGCCTGAGCAAGATATAGAAAAAATTAGCCGGGCATGGTGGCGCATGCCTGTAGTCCCAGCTACTCGGGAGGCTGAGGCAGCAGGATCGCTTGAGCCCAGGAGTTTGAGGTTACTGTGAGTTAGGCTGATGCCATGGCACTCACTCTAGCCTGGGCAACAAAGTGAGACTCTGTCTCAATAAATAAATAAATAAAGTAGAGAAATTGGCTTACTAAACTTCACTAAATTGAAATTTACACTACTTTGCTGCCTTAAGTGTATGCTTTAATGTTTTCCATGAGGTTTATAATTGCTTGCCTATGTTATCAGAGATCTGTAGTTATATGAGTTTTAAAATCAGTGACCTTGGTGGTGTGAAATAGACAAGACTTTCCAAAAGGCAGCAAAATCACATGTAGGAGCACCATATAAAATATAAACGTACAGTTAAATTTGACCTTCAGGCGGGGCACAGTGGCTCATGCCTGTAATCCTAGCACTCTAGAAGGCCGAGGCAGGAGGATCACTTGAGGTCAGAGTTTGAGACCAGCCTGAGCGACAGGGACGCCCCTCTCCAACCCTGTCTTTACTAAAAGTAGAAAAAAATTAGCCGGGCATGGTGGTGCATGCCTGTAGTCCCAGCTACTCAGGAGGCTGAGGCAGGAGGATTGCTTGAGCCCAGGAGTTTGAAGCTCCTGTGAGCTAGGCTGACATCATGGCACTCTAGCCTGGGCGACAGAGTGAGACTCTGTCTCTAAATAAATAAATAAATCTGACCTTCAGCTAAACAACAAATCATTTTTTGGTATATGTCTCAAATATTGCATTCATTGTTTATCTGAAAGCTGCATTTAATTAGACATCCTGATGTATTTGTATTCACTTAATCTGTCAACCCTAAATGTGCACCAATGAAATAGCCACCAGTTTATTCCGATTAATTATTCCTGCCCCTGGATTATACAAAGCAGGGTCCGCTTTGGCTCAGTCCTCTTCTTTTATCCCACTCCAGGCAAAAACAAAGACTGCCAGGCCTTCATCTGCAACTGTGACCGCAATGCTGCCATCTGCTTTTCAAAGGCTCCCTACAACAAGGAGCACAAGAACCTGGACACCAAGAAGTATTGTTAGGATTGAGACTCACCCTTTAAAAGCATCACCCTTTGCCCGCCTCCTTGCCTTTGCCTTACATGCTGCTCTCCAATAAAGCACCTTGTTGAAAGACCTCACGTTTGGAGACTGTTTTATTCTCTGCTATACATAACTAAGTACCTGCCTTGTTCTTTGTGAACATGATTCCTTCCAGCCTTGGAAGTAGAAGCTGAATTAGAAGAATATTTCCAGGAATCAAGCACTTTGAAATCCAAATAATGATTAAATGCCCACCATCTACTGATTATTTACTCTGTACCAGGACTGAGTGTCCCTAAATCGTCTGTACCACCCTAAGAGGTATTGGCACTATTATCAAATCTGTTTTCTAAGCTGAGGCTCAACAAGAGAGGTCACCTGCCTTATGCTAGTAAGCAGCACAGAAGGTATTTGAACCCAGGAAATCTGACAACAGAACACACATGCTGAACCACAACCTGCTCTGCCTTAAGTGGGCACTCTTGTTTAGTTTGAGCCAGATCTTTGCCCCCTCCAATGCCTCTGCCTCCATTTCCAATTGTGTTAAACCATTTTTCTACAACTATTTCCTTTTCTAAACCCTTCAAAGGCTTCATCACACTCTATCAGCTCATTTTTACATTGTAGTCATCAAATATAATAATAATTAAGTGCTTCCACTCCCTGAGGACTTAGTGTGTGCTACCCCATGTGGAAAGCTCTCCGAATCTCATCTCATTAAATGTTCAAACCAATTAGCTGGGTGTGGTGGCATGACCAGTAGTCCCAGCTGCTTGGGAGACTGAAGTAGGAAGATCGCTGGAGCCCAAGGAGTTCAAGGCTGCAGTGAGTTATGATTATGTCACTGCACTCCATCCTGAAGGACACAGCGAGACTCTGTCTCAAAAGAAAAAAAAGATAAAAATAAATAAATGTTCAAAGCAGCTCTTTGAGCTTGGTATTATTGCCTCCCATTTACAGATGAGAAACTAAAACCTCAGAGAATCCCCTCTGTGTACAGTTAAAAAAAATAAACATAAAACCTCAGAGAAGTTGAGTCACTTGCCTGAGATCACACAAATGATAGTGGGGATTTGGCCAGGTCTGTCTGATGGCAATGCCTGAGCCCTTAACCACTAAGTCACCCAGCCAAATTTCTCTATGAGTGCATTGGCATTGGAATTCACCAGAGCAAGTGGAAGCAGCAGAGAAAGAAACTGAATTAGAAAAGAAAAGATCATCGAGACTATGAGAAGCCACCACTGAGCAGTGTCAAACCACTGGAGGTCGATAGAACAGCTGCCAATTCTGGGTGTGTGGTGGGCAGCAAAGGAACTTCCTTTGAAGAAAACAGTGTATGTGAACTTATCTTTTGGCCTAATTTATCCTTCATTTTATTCATCCATTCAATGATTTAAAAAAATTTTTTTTTATTTCAGAATTTTACGAGGGGCTGGGCACAGGGGCTCACGCCTATAATCCTAGTACTCTGAGAGGCTGAGGCAGGCGGATCGCTTCAGGTCAGGAGTTCGAGACAAGCCTGAGAAGATCGAGACCCCATCTCTACTAAAAATAGAAAGATATTAATTGGCCAACTAAAAATATATAGAAAAAATTAGCTGGTCATGGTGGCACATGCCTGTGGTCCCAGCTCCTTGGGAGGCTGAGGAAGGAGGATTGCTTGAGCCCGGGAGTTTGAGGTTGTGAGCTAGGCTGCCACCACGCCACTCTAGCCCAGGCAACAGAATGAGACTCTGTCTCAAAAAAAAAAAAAAAAAAGAAAGAATATTACGGGGATACAAATGTTTTAGTTACATGGATTGCTTCTGTAATGCATGAGTCAAAGTTATAAGTGTGCCCATCACCCAGATATTGTCAATGATTATTTATTGAACACTTACTCTGGGGGCCAGGCACTGTACAAAGTGCTGAGGATACTGTATTTGGGACTGGCCTCAAGACAATGACTTAGTGTTATTAGCCGTCTGCAATTCAGTCTGCTCTGAGACTTTTCTTTCTCTCTTCAAACTGGCATCCTTATATAGTCTATGCTCTGTACTCCCAATGATGCCACGCATTTTGCACAATCGTCTTCCTCAAAGTCTATAGCTGTAGGTACTATTATGTCCACATTTTACAGGTGAGAAAACTAGCTTAAAGAGGCAAGTGGGCCAGGCGCGGTGGCTCACGCCTATAATCCTAGCACTCTGGGAGGCCGAGGTGGGCGGATTGCTCAAGGTCAGGAGTTCGAAACCAGCCTGAGCGAGACCCCCTCTATACCAAAAATAGAAAGAAATTAATTGACCAACTAAAAATATATATACAAAAAATTAGCTGGGCATGGTGGCGCATGCCTGTAGTCCCAGCTACTCGGGAGGCTGAGGCAGCAGGATTGCTTGAGCCCAGAAGTTTGAGGTTGCTGTGAGCTAGGCTGATGCCACAGCACTCACTCTAGCCTGGGCAACAAAGTGAGACTCTGTCTCAAAAAAAAAAAAAAAAGATTCCTTTAGTCCTTAGTTAATAAAAAATTCATTCATGCTGTCACATATTCAAAAAATATATCAAAATTGTTCAGTTAAAGACACAACCATTTGGATTATAAATTATTTCATTTCCTTCTATCTTCACCAACCCGAAATTAGTGAGATCCTTGGCTTAGCACTCCAGAGACCATCTGGCTTACATGTTTCCCAGGCCATTTCTTCTGCCAGGTGAGATAAAAAAGGATCTGAATACAGTTTTGGTATCAAGAGCAGCTGCTTCTTTGAAAAGATCTTTTTTCAAGGGCAAATCTCATCAGCCTGATGACCTCAACTGGGTTCTGGAACCTGCCCAGGTCAGAGATGGGCTGGCAGAGAGATGTTGGTTTGCTGCCCTCTCTGGGCTGCACTCAGTGAGCTTCGATTAGTTTGAGGAAAAAGGGATGAATCCTTAGGGATCTGTAAAGAAATGAAACAAGTTAATGGCCAGATAAGCTGGGAGTAGAGCAGAGGGAATGCTTGTGATGTGGCAAGATGACCACTATATATTGTTAAGTGAAAACAGGGTGTGTTTTCTAATAAAATTTTTAGCACAGTTTGATTCAATTTTTGTAAAAACTGATTTAGTTATACCAGAATGTTCAACTTTGGCTATCTTGGTGGTGAGATTCTGGGTAATTTGTATTATTTTCTTTTTACTCATCTGTATTGTCCAAACTTTCTACAATAAATATGTATTATTCTAATAATGTGAAAACTAGTTTAAAAGTATATTTAGGCCAGGCCTGGTGGCTCATGCCTGTAATCCTAGCACTCTGGGAGGACAAGGTGGGAAGATCACTCAAGGTCAGGAGTTCAAGACCAGCCTGAGCAAGAGTGAGACCCCTGTCTCTACTAAAAATAGAAAGAAATTAGCTGGACAACTAAAAATATATGGTGCACGCCTGTAGTCCCAGCTACTCGGGAGGCTGAGGCAGCAGGATTGCTTGAGCCCAGAAGTTTGAGGTTGCTGTGAGCTAGGCTGATGCCACAGCACTCACTCTAGCCTGGGCAACAAAGTGAGACTCTGTCTCAAAAAAATAAATAAATAAAATAAAGAGGCAAGTGATTTGCGTAAGGTTGCTCATTTCCTAAGTGGCGCAGATGAGCTTGGAGCCCAAATCTGGATAATTCAGAGAAGTGCTATCAGACTGTGAAACTTGCTGAAGGCAGAGTGAGGTGTCTTAGTCACTTTTGTATCTTCAACAGCCTGGTACTGTACTTGGCACAGAGAGGACACTCAAATGATGGCAGAATGCTAAATGAAGTGCTGGTCATAAGTGCTTAGGGTCTTTTTGATTCTTTGGCAGGCAACATAGGAACTCTTCTCAAATTCAACAAGTATAGATTGCATTCTTTGCAGACTATGCTACGTAAGACAGCCAAGAGATGTAAAATTAAGATAGACCTGGCTTCAGCCTTCAACAAACTGGAAAGGCCATAATACCATCTTTCTTCAATGGAAAGAAACTGCAAATCCCTGTATGGATGGAAGAAAGGTGAACTTATAGGAGATTGGTGCTTACTCCCTCCTGTTTTTTTTCAGACGACAAAACAAACAAGAGCAAGAACAGACTCACAGGGATACTAAAGGTTATAGGTGGGCTTAAAAAACATCTTCTGGCCAGGCGCCTGGTGACTCACGCCTGTAATCCTAGCACTCTGGGAGGCCCACATGGGAGGACTGCTTGAGGCCAGGAGTTTGAGGGTAGCCTGAGCAACAGCAAGACCCCATCTCCACAAAAAATAGGAAAATCAGCCAGGCATGGTAGCACGCCTGTAGTCCCACCTACTTAGGAGACTGAGGCAGAAGGATCGCTTGAGCCCAGGGGTTGAAGGTTACAGTGAGTTATGATGAGGCCACTGTACTCCAGCCAGGGTGACAGAGCAAGACCCTGTCTCAAAACAAAAATAGAAACAAAAAAACATACCCTCTTATGTAAAATTCTCTTTTTCTCCATCCCAAGGCTTTGGAGAGAGAGAATAAACTTCTTTAACAATCTTTAGATGAGCATTTGCTGGGTGCCCATTATGAGAAGTGGGATACAGGAAACACAAGTGGGATACAGGAAGCACAGTGGCTAGGATGAGTTGAATAAATAAATAATCAAAGGGGACTGAGAGATTTCAGATTATGTCAAAATTTGTGCTCCTCTCCAATACACTTGGGGAAAAAGCAAAGGCAGCCACAGTATCTTCACAATATCCAGCACATCACACAGCTGATTAAATAATTGTTTCAACTACAACCAGTAAGGGTGTAAACTAATGGTTCCCCAAGCCCATGGAAAAAAAGCCACGTGGCCTTATTTACCTTTTCACATCACGTGACCATGTGCGCCCCACCCAGTCAACCTGCCGTCCCTCAGCAAGATCAGAAGATGTGATTGGATAACTCGTGGGCACGTGGTTCTCCGTCTCTGTTTTCTGTTGGTTAGCGGCCTAGCCCGTGCCTATCTCCACACCCCTAAGGCTCCGCCCTTCCCAGCACGCACCGGGCCCAGCGTGCGCAGGCGCAGTGGCTGGCAACACTAGCTGCAAGTGGTGTCCGCGTGGTTTGGCGGTGGCGGGTGCGCTTCCTGGGGCCCTGGCAGCGCACTTTTCCTGAGCCAGACTCCAGCAAGATGGACAGAGAGGGCATTCGAGTGTGAATAGAGGGCACAGGCACACTCACGTGGGCGTGACAGTGAGGCCAGCTCCCGCTGTGCTTGTCCCTCTCTGGGTCACTCATCCACTCCCCCTGCCTGTTTCTAAAGGTTGGCAACCCCTCAGTTGCTTTTATCCCGGGGAGGGACGAGGGAGCCTGGAAAGTAGGGTGCAGGGAAGCAAAGCGGGGGCCGAGAGGAGGGTTGGCTAAGCAGAGAGGCAAGTGGATGTTGGGTGAGCCAAAGGCCTCTGAGGTCCCCCAAATCCACACTTAAAATTTCCAGCCCCACCTTGAAGAGGAGGAAGGAGAAAAAGTAAAGCGATTTACTGATGTAACCTCTAGGGTTTTGGATTGGTTGTTGGCTCCGCCTGCATGCCTTACCTTTTTCTGCCTGGTGAACTCGTGCTCATCTTTTAGGACCCAGTCTGGGTCACTTCTGGGAAGTTCCTTGAGTTTTGCCTTTCTTCCATCAGTTGCTCATTTGCCCCACTGGTTTCTACAGCATGAAAAGGCCAGAACTGGACAGACTGGCTTTGATTACTGGCCTAGTCACCGTAGGTGACCGTGGGCAGTTTATCCAAGGTCTTTGAGCTTCAGGAGCCTCATCTTTCAAAAGGAATAATAGTGCCCGTATCATATACCATGGGGTTGTGGGAAGGAAGCGTACGAGTATGTTATGTAAACTATTTTCTACAATGCTTGTTGTATAGATGTTCAATAAATATTGTTGATTTTCCTAAGGGTTAGGAGAGGGAAAGATACTTTTTATTTTCTTTGGAAAGGTTTTATTACATCAAGCAAGACTTGCTTTTGTAATCTTTTTAAAAAGACAAACTGGTACACAAAAGGAAGTGAGGCTCTAGGGAAGATTATTGGAAAGTCTAGTTAAAGGAGTACTCAATAGGGGACCAGAGGTTAGGTAGATAGGATGATTTCTTTTCCTCCATCCTGTCCTCCTGCCATTTCCTAATGATGGTGGCTGGCATTTATTTATTACGTGCCAGGGTCAACCTAGCTCACAGCAACCTCAAACTTCTGTGCTCAAGCTGGGACTACAGACCTGCACCACCATGCCTGGCTAATTTTTTCTGTTTTCAGTTGTCCAGTTAATTTCTTTCTATTTTTAGTAGAGACAGAGTCTAGCTCTTGCTCAGGCTGGTCTAGAACTCCTGATCTCAAGCAATTCTCCTGCCTCTGCCTCTGCCTCTCAGAGTGCTAGGATTATAGGGATGAGCCACCACACCCAGCCCTGATGTGTTATAAAATGCTTTGCACAGTGCTTGGGATATAATATGTGCTCAATAAATTATTTTATTTAGGGGAGAAATGAAAGAAGGATATTGAATTAATGAGAGCACAAAAAGGAGAAATATGAGTTGGTAGGGAGGAAGTTTCCAATCTTATGTACCTGTTTGCCTTTGTGACTTACGAAAACTTATGGCAGAGCAGAACTGCCAAAACAACTGAGGGGGGATACAACCAAGAATCATGCCCAAGGCTGGGCTTGTGTAGTTAGAACCATATAACCAGGGCAGTGGCAAACTGACAGCACTAGCTAGTTTGTTACTCTAACTGGGGGCACGTACAGTGGGTTACGAACTGCGGTGATGGTAGAAAGCAAAAGACATAAAGTAAGGAGGCAGACATGTAAAACGTCAGTCTCAGGAGATGCCAGGTTCCTCTTGGGACACATTTTTTTTTTTTTTTAAAGAATTCTGTCCAGAATTTTTTAAAGAATTCAGGCCCAGCACGATGGCTCATGTCTGTAATCCTAACACTCTGGGAGGTGAGATGGGAGGATTGCTTGAGGTCAGGAGTTTGAAACCAGCCTGAGCAAGAGTGAGACCCCATCTCTACTAAAAATAGAAAGAAATTACCTGGACAACTAAAAGTATGTATAGAAAAAATTAGCTGGGCATGGTGGCGCATACCTGTAGTCCCAGCTACTCAGGAGGCTGAGGCAGGAGGACTGGTTGAGCCCAGGAGTTGTTTTTTTTGTTTTTTTGTGACAGAGTCTCGCTTTGTTGCCCAGGCTAGAGTGAGCCCAGGAGTTTGAGGTTGCTGTGAGCTAGGCTGACGCCATGGCACTCTAGCCTGGGCAATAGAGTGAGACTCTGTCAAGAAAGAAAGGAAGGAAGGGAGGGAGGGAGGGAATTAGCTGGACGGGGGTGGGAGGGTGGGGGGGCAAGGGCAATATACATAACATTTGTACCCCCATAATATGCTGAAAAAAATTAATAATAATAAAAAAAGAAATTAGCTGGACAACTAAAAATATATAGAAAAAAATTAGCCGGGCATGGTGGCACATGCCTGTAGTCCCAGCTGCTTGGGAGGCTGGGGCAGGAGGATCGCTTGAGCCCAGGAGTTTGAGGTTGTCGTGAGCTAGGCTGATGCCATGGCGCTCTAACCCAGGCAACAGAGTGAGACTCTGTCTCAAACAAGAAAAAAAAAAAAAAAAAAAAAAGAATGCCGTCTCAGGAGGAAATATGAACAAAGCAAACATTCCTAAGGCCCTCAAGACTTGATTTCATGATTCGTGCGCCAGCACTGAGTGCTAAAAGAGCCTGCCTTCCCTTCCTGGCACTCCAACCTGCTCTCCATTACCCACTGTATTTTAACCATTTCTGGTCTCCTCGGCCAGGTGCACCTCTGGCTTTCACTTCAGCTTTAGACTGACCATAATTTGCCATAGCCTAATCACAGTCTGCAGACAGATGAGAGGCATTTTGTTTAAAAAGAAAAGAACTAGAAGGAAAGTCGACTTGGATTCTAGTCCTGGCTCTGAAACTATGTAGCATGGCCTCAGGTAAGTCTGGATCTAATTTCTTCAAAAATAAAATGAGGGGGATGGACTAAATTTTCTCTAATTCTCTCATTTGGTGGTGGTGGTGGTGGGAACAGTCTTTTCTTTGTGAGCCACCTTGAGGACAAGAAGTTGTATCTTTGTATCCTTAGTACCTTAATGCAGTGTCTGTCAATAACTGTCGATGAGATCTGTGGGATGAGAATGGCTTGAGATTCAGAAGACCCAGATTTTTTTTTTTTTTTTTTTTTTGAACAGAGTTCGCTGTTGTCCAGGCTAGAGTGAGTGCCGTGGCGTCAGCCTAGCTCACAGCAACCTCAAACTCCTGGGCTCCAGTGATCCTTCTGCCTCAGCCTCCCGAGTAGCTGGACTACAGCATGCGCCACATGCCCGCTAATTTTTATATATCATATCAGTTGGCCAATTAATTTTTTCTATTATAGTAGAGACGGGGTCTCGCTCTTGCTCAGCTGGTTTCGAACTCCTGACCTTGAGCAATCCCCGCCCGCGCCTCCACAGAGCTAGGATTACAGGCGTGAGCCACAGCGCCCGGCCCCAGATTTTTAATACATTTGTCGATACTGACTTTGGGCAACTGAGGAAATCTGGTTCAAACCCCCTTAGGGTCCCGTCTGCAAAAAGCTGCAATGAGATTCACAACAACCTTATACCTCTTCAGAATTAATGACTATGAGTGAACCAACATGTGTTCAGGTGAAAAGAACTGTTTTCAAGATCTTGAATTATCCCAGTTAACTGAAATTTGCCTCCTAGGCAGGTGCAGGACAGGCAGGTATTGCCTGCCCTGATTTTAGACAAAAAGCTATCCAGAAGAGACTGTGATTCTTTCATCCACCTCACTTTGTAATGAGATTGTGTAGAAAGTTTTAGCCTGGTACACTGATTCTTTACGGCGAACTCAATCATCAAACAAGTCTTTCCTCCAACTTAAGAGCCCACTTGGGAATTAACTGTTTTCTCTCTACAGACCAGGTTTGAGCAGGTGTCTCATTTTGACAGCTAAAATCGAGTAGAAATCAATCCTTAGAGAACCGTCATAAAGCCTCATTCTCTTTTAGCTGATTAAAAAATATATATATATAAGGCCGGGCGTGGTGGCTCATGTCTGTAATCCTAGCACTCTGGGAAGCCAAGGCGGGCAGATTGCTCAAGGTCAGGAGTTCAAAACCAGCCTGAGCGAGACCCCGTGTCTACTAAAAAGAAAGAAATTAATTGACCAACTAAAAATATATATACAAAAATTAGCCGGGCATGGTGGCGCATGCCTGTAGTCCCAGCTACTTGGGAAGCTGAGGCAGTAGGATTGCCTGAGTCCAGGAGATTGAGGTTGCTGTGAGCTAGGCTGATGCCATGGCACTCTAGCCCAGGCAACAGAGTGAGACTCTGTCTCAGGGGGGGGGGGGGGGGGGGAATATATATATATAAAGTACAGCCTACTCACTTGTATGCTATTTAAAAAGATCCTTTAGTCCTTAGTTAATAAAAATTCATTCATGCTGTCACATATTCAAAAAATATATCAAAATTGTTCAGTTAAAGACACAACCATTTGATTATAAATTATTCATTTCCTTCTATCTTCACCAACCCGAAATTAGTGAGATCCTTGGCTTAGCACTCCAGAGACCATCTGCTTACATGTTTCCCAGGCCATTTCTTCTGCCAGGTGAGATAAAAAAGGATGTGAATACACTTTTGGTATCAAGAGCAGCTGCTTCTTTGAAAAGATCTTTTTTCAAGGGCAAATCTCATCAGCCTGATGACCTCAACTGGGTTCTGGAACCTGCCCAGGTCAGAGATGGCTGGCAGAGAGATGTTGGTTTGCTGCCCTCTCTGGGCTGCACTCAGTGAGCTTCGATTAGTTTGAGGAAAAAGGGATGAATCCTTAGGGATCTGTAAAGAAATGAAACAAGTTAATGGCCAGATAAGCTGGGAGTAGAGCAGAGGGAATGCTTGTGATGTGGCAAGATGACCACTATATATTGTTAAGTGAAAACAGGGTGTGTTTCTAATAAAATTTTAGCACAGTTTGATTCAATTTTGTAAAAACTGATTTAGTTATACCAGAATGTTCAACTTTGGCTATCTTGGTGGAGATTCTGGGTAATTTGTATTATTTTCTTTTTACTCATCTGTTTGTCCAAATTTCTACAATAAATAATTATTCTAATAATGTGAAAACTAGTTTAAAAGTATATTTAGGCCAGGCTGGTGGCTCATGCCTGTAATCCTAGCACTCTGGGAGGACAAGGTGGGAAGATCACTCAAGGTCAGGAGTTCAAGACCAGCCTGAGCAAGAGTGAGACCCCTGTCTCTACTAAAAATAGAAAGAAATTAGCTGGACAACTAAAAATATATATAGAAAAAATGAGCCAGGCATGGTGGTGCACGCCTGTAGTCCCAGCTACTCGGGAGGCTGAGGCAGGAGGATCACTTAAGCCCAGGAGTTTGAGGTTGCTGTGAGCCACTGCACTCTACCCCTGGGCGAGAGAGCAAGACTCTGTCTCAAAAAAAAAAAAAAAAAAAATTGTAAATAAGAATGGTCATGCATTAAGAAACTTAGAACCGGCTGGGCGCGGTGGCTCACGCCTGTAATCCTAGCACTCTGGGAGGCCGAGGCGGGGGATTGCTCAAGGTCAGGAGTTCAAAACCAGCCTGAGCGAGACCGTCTCTACCATAAAAATAGAAAGAAATTAATTGGCCAACTAATATATATATATATAAAATCAGCCGGGCATGGTGGCTCGTGCCTGTAGTCCAGCTACTCGGGAGGCTGAGGCAGGAGGATCGCTTGGCCCAGGAGTTTGAGGTTGCGTGAGCTAGGCTGATGCCACGGCACTCACTCTAGCCTAGGCAAGAAAGCGAGACTCTGTCTCAAAAAAAAAAAAAGAAAGAAAGAAACTTAGAACCATTTATAGCTTGTCAGTGCACCCCACCACTCTAAGTCGAATGGGAACTGGAATCTGTCACCTGAGAAGGCATTTACCTTTAGCAGCAGGGCTCCAGTGGAAGTCCCTGTTACTGGCTCAGGAACACCAGGCTGTGGTCAGTGTGGATCTATTAAAGGCAGCAACTCTCCACAACGAGAATTCAGTTTCAGACACGCCAGGTCATCCGACCGTGTGGGCCCGATATTCAGTATTGCAATCGGCAGCTTCTTTTCCCGGGCAGTGAGGATAAACCTGTAGCTAGAGTACACCTGCACGGGGAGATGACACAAGGAAGAGCTCTCTAGATCATCCAGGCAAAGTTAAACCAAAGAGGGACCCTCTCAGGACTCCCTGTCCCACAAAAGGGGCAGCTACCACTGGGACCCAGTCAGATACCTGCAAGGATGATCCCACAACCAAGAGGGAGTCAGCTTCTTTGACACGCTTGTGCACAAAATCAACCTTGTCACGGTTCACCGTATCCCCAAAGAAAACGACATCCGGCTTCAGAGGGCCTCCACATCGCACACAGGATGGCACCTGAAAGCTCCGGACCTGCTCCTCCGAGAGAAAGACGTCGCCATCAGGAGCCACACCATGGGCCTCAGCACTCCAGGTGGGGTTCAGGACTTGGAGGCGCTCCTGCAGCGTCCCCCGGGGAGTCTGCTCGCCACAGTCCAAGCAGAGGACCCTGACACCAAAGGAGGCCGAATGAATGAACAGTATTCCCCTGGAAGGCACGCAGCTGCCCAAGATTTTGCATCCCCAACCATTTTCAACCCCCCCATTGCTGCTTGCTTTTCCTAGCACACAGATTCCCCCTGGTTTTAGGCATGCTTTCTCATGACCTCCTTAGCTACCTCCCTGTTTATCACCTTCTTTCGACTGTCAACCTTTCAGAACAAGTAATGTGCATCTGTCTCCTTACCACACACCCTCCTCCACCTTCTGCTAGCTGGCTTGCATCCTTAACACAACTACAAAAGCCTTGCCCGCTGATTTTCTGAGTGCCAAAGCCAGTGTTTTCCCCTCTATCCTCTGCTCTGTTCATCTGCTGTCATTGTCACCATTTATCACGCCCCTCTTTTTATGATACTTCTCCCAAAAGGAAGGAGGAGTCTTTCTCCAGAAAACCCTTAGCATGGGAGAGGAAGATCTATTCAACTTTGCTCAGGAGGAAGGATGTAGTGACTTCAGGTTGGAGGCCTGGAAGGCCAGAGCCAGTCACCTTGGCTGCAGGCCAGGTTCTTGCCATCAAAGCCACATTTGGGGATGTCACCAACTAGGCAGTCCTGCCTCCCACCAAGCTCTGCTTCCAGGGCCTATGTCTGAGCTGTCAACTATTTACTAAGCCCTTGCTGTGATGGATACAGAGAGACCTCATACCCATGTGCATGTAAACACTTGAAAACACTATAACAAAAAACAAATACTTCTCCCCCTTGGTTTCCATGACACAGAGCCTCCAGGTTCTCTTCTCTGCTCTGTCAGCACCAGAGCCCTCCGTGAAGGCAAGCACTTTGTGCCTTTTGACCAGTGCCCTATGCCCACCACCTAGAACAGTGGCTGCACACAGTGGCACTCACTAAATAGCTGTTGAGGCCGGGCACGGTGGCTCACGCCTGTAATCCTAGCACTCTGGGAGGCCGAGGCAGGTGGATTGCTCAAGGTCAGGAGTTCAAAACCAGCCTGAGCAAGAGCGAGACCCCGTCTCTATAAATAGAAAGAAATTAATTGGCCAACTACTACATATAGAAAAAATTAGCCAGGCATGGTGGCGCATGCCTGTAGTCCCAGCTACTCGGAAGGCTGAGGCAGTAGGATCGCTTCAGCCCAGGAGTTTGAGGTTGCTGTGAGCTAGGCTGATGCCACAGCACTCACTCTAGCCAGGGCAACAAAGCGAGACTCTGTCTCAAAAAAGAAAGAAAGAGAGAGAGGGAGGGAGGGAGGGAGAGAGAGAGAGAGGGAGAGAGAGAGAGAGAGGGAGAGCGTGCTTCATGTCTGTAATCCTAGCACTCTGGAAGCCAAGGCGGGCAGATTGCTCAAGGTCAGGATTCAAAACCAGCCTGAGCGAGACCCGTGTCTACTAAAAATAGAAAGAAATTAATTGACCAACAAAAATATATAACAAAAATTAGCCGGGATGGTGGCGCATGCCTGTAGTCCAGCTACTTGGGAGCTGAGGCAGTAGGATTGCCTGAGTCCAGGAGATTGAGGATGCTGTGAGCTAGCTGATGCCCCGCACTCTAGCCAGGGCAACAGAGTGAGACTCTGTCTCGGGGGGGGGGGGGGGGGGGGGATATATATATAATAAAGTACAGCCTACTCACTTGTATGCTATTTAAAAAGATCCTTTAGTCCTTAGTTAATAAAAAATTCATTCATGCTGTCACATATTCAAAAATATATCAAAATTGTTCAGTTAAAGACACAACCATTTGATATAAATTATTATTTCTTCTATCTTCACACCCCGAAATTAGTGAGATCCTTGGCTAGCACTCCAGAACCATCTGGCTTACATGTTTCCAGGCCATTTCTCTGCAGGTGAGATAAAAAAGGATGTGAATACATTTTGGTATCAAGAGCAGCTGCTTCTTTGAAAGATCTTTTTTCAAGGGCAAATCTCATCAGCCTGATGACCTCAACTGGGTTCTGGAACCTGCCCAGGTCAGAGATGGGCTGGCAGAGAGATGTTGTTTGCTGCCCTCTCTGGGCTGCACTCGTGAGCTTCGATTAGTTTGAGGAAAAGGGATGAATCCTTAGGGATCTGTAAAGAAATGAAACAAGTTAATGCCAGATAAGTGGAGTAGAGCAGAGGGAATGCTTGTGACGTGGCAAGATGACCACTAATATTGTTAAGTAAAACAGGGTGGTTTTCTAAAAATTTTAGCACAGTTTGATTCAATTTTGTAAAAACTGATTAGTTATACCAGAATGTTCAACTTTGGCTATCTGTGGTGGAGATTCTGGGTAATTTGTATTATTTTCTTTTTACTCATCTGTTTGTCCAACTTTCTACAATAAAATATATTATTCTAATAATGTGAAAACTAGTTTAAAAGTATATTTAGGCCAGGCCTGGTGGCTCATGCCTGTAATCCTAGCACTCGGGAGGACAAGGTGGGAAGATCACTCAAGTCAGGAGTTCAGACCCAGCCTGAGCAAGAGTGAGACCCCTGTCTCTACTAAAATAGAAAGAAATTAGCGGACAACTAAAAATATAATATAGAAAAAATGCCAGGCATGGTGGTGCACCCTGTAGTCCCAGCTACTCGGGAGCGAGGGCAGGCAGGATCACTTAAGCCCAGGAGTTTGAGGTTGCAGTGAGCCACGTGCACTCAATCCCTGGGCAGAGAGAGCAAGACTCTGTCTCAAAAAAAAAAAAAAAAAATTGTAAATAAGATGGCATGCATTAAGAACTTAGAACTGGCTGGGTGCGGTGGCTCCAGCCTGTAATCTAGCACTCTGGAGGGAGGCGGCGCGGATTGCTCAGAGCAGGAGTTCAAAACCAGCCTGAGGAGACCCGTCTCTACCATCAAAATAGAAAGAAATTAATTGGCCAACTAATATATATAATATAAAAATCAGCCGGGCATGGTGGCCGTGCCTGTAGTCCAGCTACTCGGGAGGCTGAGGCAGGAGGATCCTTGAGCCCAGGAGTTTGAGGTTGCGTGAGCTAGGCTGATGCCACGGCACTCACTCTAGCCTAGGCAAGAAAGCGAGACTCTGTCTCAAAAAAAAACAAAGGATTTTTAATACATTTGTCGATACTGACTTTGGGCAACTGAGGAAATCTGGTTCAAACCCCCTTAGGGTCCCCGTCTGCAAAAAAGCTGCAGTGAGATTCACAACAACCTTATACCTCTTCAGAATTAATGACTATGAGTGAACCAACATGTGTTCAGGTGAAAAGAACTGTTTTCAAGATCTTGAATTATCCCAGTTAACTGAAATTTGCCTCCTAGGCAGGTGCAGGACAGGCAGGTATTGCCTGCCCTGATTTTAGACAAAAAGCTATCCAGAAGAGACTGTGATTCTTTCATCCACCTCACTTTGTAATGAGATTGTGTAGAAAGTTTTAGCCTGGTACACTGATTCTTTACGGCGAACTCAATCATCAAACAAGTCTTTCCTCCAACTTAAGAGCCCACTTGGGAATTAACTGTTTTCTCTCTACAGACCAGGTTTGAGCAGGTGTCTCATTTTGACAGCTAAAATCGAGTAGAAATCAATCCTTAGAGAACCGTCATAAAGCCTCATTCTCTTTTAGCTGATTAAAAAATATATATATATAAGGCCGGGCGTGGTGGCTCATGTACTTGTCCTTTAGCACTCCAGAGACCATTCTGGCTTACATGTTTCCAAGGCCATTTCTTCTGCCAGGGTGAGATTAAAAAAGGATGTGAATACAGTTTTGGTATCAAGAGCAGCTGCTTCTTTGAAAGATCTTTTTTCAAGGGCAAATTCTCATCAGGCCTGGATGACCTCAACTGGGTTCTGGAACCTGCCCAGGTCAGAGATGGGCTGGCCAGAGAGATGTTGGTTGCTGCCCTCTCTGGGCTGCACTCAGTGAGCTTCGATTAGTTTGAGGAAAAGGATGAATCCTTAGGGATCTGTAAAGAAATGAAACAAGTTTAATGGCCAGATAAGCTGGAGTAGAGCAGAGGGAATGCTTGTGACGTGGCAAGATGACCACTATATATTGTTAAGTGAAAACAGGGTGGTTTTCTAATAAATTTTAGCACAGTTTTTGATTCAATTTTGTAAAAAACTGATTTAGTTATACCAGAATGTTCAACTTTGGCTATCTTGGTGGTGAGATTCTGGGTAATTTGTATTATTTTCTTTTTACTCATCTGTATTGTCCAAACTTTCTACAATAAATATGTATTATTCTAATAATGTGAAAACTAGTTTAAAAGTATATTTAGGCCAGGCCTTGGTGGCTCATGCCTGTAATCCTAGCACTCGGGAGGACAACGGTGGGAAAATCACTCAAGTCAGGGTTCAAGACCAGCCTGAGGCAAGAGTGAGACCCTGTCTACTACTAAAATAGAAAGAAATTAGCTGGACAACTAAAAATATATATAAAGAAAAAATGAGCCAGCATGGTGGTGCACGCCTGTAGTCCCAGCTACTCGGGAGCTGAGGGCAGGCAGCATCACTTAAGCCGCAGGGAAAGTTTGAGGTTGCAGTGAGCCACTGCACTCTACCCTGGCGAGAGAAGACGCAAGACTCTGTCTCAAAAAAAAATAAAAAAAAAAATAAATAAGCAATTGGTCCATTGCATTAAGAAACTTAGAACTGTGGGTGCCGGTTGGCTCACACCTGCTAATCCTAGCACTCTGGGCAGGCCGAGGCGGCAGGATTGCTCAAGGTCAGGAGGTTCAAAACCAGCCTGAGGCGAGACCGTCCTCTACCATAAAAATAGAAAGAAATTAATTGGCCAACTAATATATATAACTAAAAAATAGCCGGGCATGGTGGCCGGCCTGTAGTCCAGCCTACTCGGGAGGCTGAGGGCAGGGAGATCCTTGAGCCCAGCCCCCCCGGAGTTGAGGTGCGTGGAGGCTTAGGCTGATGCCACGGCACTCACTTCAGCCTAGGCAAGAAAAGCGAGACTCTGTCTCAAAAAAAAAAAAAAAAAAAAAAGAATAGAACCATTTAGGCTTGTCTAGCTGCACCCCA